ACACACTTATTTTGGGCCACAAACATGGATAATTATTAATAAATATGTGGAACATAGCTTAATTCAATGTAATTTGTGTTTTGCTGAACAACAAGGATGAATATGGCGTAAATTAGGAGAAAAATGGGAAAATGGACTAAAATGAAAGAACCAAAGTTCGGGGAACAAGGTGCAAATAATCGAAAGATAACCCGAAAGAGGATTTGAAGATGTGAAGATGGAGAGATCAAATTGATCAAATGAATGGAACATTGGAAGAAGAAGAAGGAGGAGGAGGAGGAAAAAGGTTCAATTATATCAAATACAAAGTTCGAGGACTGAAATGCAAATACTGAAAAGTTACATCGAACCTCACGATGAAGATTTGAGAGTGTTAGGCATCAATTGATGAGGAAAGAAGCCAAATGGATGAAATATAATCCAAGTACAATCACATATCAACTTCCAGTCGAAAAAGTTATGCTTCGAATTTTCAGTCTCAATTTAAGACCCATTTTTGGTATAGTAAATGTTCGAATTGGAAATATTATATTTCTGGAATATTTATATCCCTTTGGATTATCTTTCCAATACATTTTGAATCACCTCAATTGGATATCAATGGAGAAAGATATGACTAAAATACGGAAGGCTGTCTAATGGGAAAAACCTATAACTATGCGGCCGCATAGGTCTAATTTGATGCGACCGCATAGTTCATTCCAAGGCCAAAATTTATGGTTGGACATCCTTCTATGCAACCGCTTATAAATGTACTATGCGATCGCATAGTACAAACGTTTGGCTAGACTTTGTTTTCTTTTCCAACTGAAACTCTACTTTGGTAACAAGATTTTAGGTATCCTATATATACAAAACTCTACCAGAAGCGAAGATTAAAGTCAATAATTGAATTGGTGATGTTGTTCCTTCATTATTTTTCTAATTTTCTTCTTTCCATCATGTTAGGCTAGGTTAATTCTGCACTAGGGAACGATGACCCATGTAATATGATTTTTATTTTTTAGTTTTACATTCTTGACAATAAAAACACTTTTTGGATATTTGAGTGGTTTATATGATCTTATTTTTTCCATAATTATTGTGCACATAATTGTGTGAGTGTGGTAATCTATTTTATGCATTCAAAAGAAGGAAAATAGGTTAGACAGGGTGTAAATAATCATAGAGTTCGATAGGGGATAGAAATACACCATTATGCCTTATGTGAATCTTTAAGTGTTCATAAAAACTCATACATTCTTGTATGTTTGCATTCGTCATAGAGATATAGTCGGACCATATATGAGAATAGGTTTAACTTTATTCGAGAGGGATTGTTGAATAATTTAGAAGCATAGATTCGTCAATATTTCAATCATGTTGTCAAAGTGTAAAACTAGGTTTAAAAATATTATTACTTAGGGATTCGTGATCCTAGTACATTCATCATACATTCGAAAACTCCAACTTACATTCAAAGCTATTCTCATTTAGTTTAGTTAAATCATTCATTCTTGCATAATTAGATTAATTTAGTTATAATTTTGTTACAAAAATACTTAGATTTTATTGTTTCGGTTAGGTCAAGTAAGTAGAATTAGAACTAATAAATCTCTGTAAAAATGACAGTCGGACTCAAAAAGTCCACTTTATTACTTGTCAACGATCTGTACACTTGCGACGGGTTTAATTCGAAGTATATTTTCATGAGCAATCCTCACGAGTATAGAGACAAGAATGTCATTCCTAGTCCAAATATGTCACCGTTGTCATTCCTAATTAGGAAGTGGGTGTTGAGTTACTGAAGACAAGTTACTAAAAATAATATTAAGAGTCTGTTTGAAAAAACCTGTTTGAGTCCAATTTTCTGCCCAAAAATGCATTTTGAAATAGTATTTTGATGGAGAATGTGTGGTTAAAAAAATAAGGAAAAATTTTAGGTTTGTGTGTAATATAATTTTATTAAAGAATGTGGTTTAAAATAATAAAATAAGAGAGAAGAAAATGTATTTTGAAAATAATGGAGACCAAACAAATGTTTAATCAAAGTTTACCTGTAGGCCGGATATATCAGATTTCCAAAGGCCACTTTGAAATCAGTCAAACAGGGTACATTTCTGCCTATTCATGAACAAGTTTTGCATTTCCTTCAAGTCTTTTGACTGGTTCATCTCGATAGACTCATAAATTATATTTCTTGCCTCCTAATGAATTGTAAAATTTATATTAGGATGGAAGAATTTATGGGGGATACGGGGATCCTAATGTTTGTTCAATTACTTGAGTTTTATAAACGCTTCCTAATACTTAGTTAGATTAATTATATTTGTTATATGTTGTTAATATAAATCTTTGCATTAATAAAATTGTTTGTTTATATCTGATTAGAGATAGGTTAATTGAGAACTAGATTATGTACTTATTCCTCGTGAGATCAATACTTAGATTCACATCAACAATATATACCATATGCTACCATTGCCTAGCCACAATGGAGCGCCCTTGACTTAGGCTTAGGTCTCGGCACATTGCAAGGTCGCCTTTGCAATTCGCAAAAGTTTTGAAGAAATGGAACTGCGGTGCTTGTTCGTGGCGTTAATGTGGTGTTTTGATCTAACATGCTCACAAGTGGAATTTCTTTTGCCACCAAATCACATCCCATTGAAATTGCATGATCTAATGGTCTAGATTGGTCCGTGACAAAAGAGGTAGTAATTGTGAAAAAAAAAATTAATCCAATAAATATGACTCCCTCATTTGATTCCAACTTCCAAATCAATCCAGAAATAATCCCTCCTAAATTTAGTCCAAATATTTTTGAGTTTATACAAGTTCATGGGAAAAGTGTTATATCTTGGGAAGTAGACATTCAATTATACTTTAAGTTCGATTTTTCAAGGGACGAGATCTATATTAAAGAGATTTTGCAACCATATACCTTCATTTTTTATTACTTCCCATTTCTTTTTCTTTTTTTTTCTTTTTTTTTTTTTTAAATATATTTTTGATTGTTAAGTCATTTTCCGATAGCAAATCGTTTCATCTAAAAGTTTAAACCGTTGAAAAAAATAATATATATTTGCTCATATATTCAGTCTAAATATCACTACAATATATAAAAGAGAAGGATTTTAGGCACTGTTCCTAAGCCATTTGGCCATTTTGAGCCTATCCGTCTTCGCTGGCCAGTACGTCGAGCCGTGTGAGCCGAGCTCTGGGAGATTTTTTCTAAAATTACTGTCATCTTTTTGTCCTTTTATCTTACTCTTTACGCTACTCACTCTCTCTCTCATTCGGTTTGCTTAACTTCCCCCTCTTTCTCTCGCGATTTATTTCCTCCCTGTTGAAACCCTAACGAAGTCGTCCGATTCAAGTTTTTTGCTGTGTTGTAAAATCAGCAGAGTATCGGAGATTGGTTGGGTTTTTCTTCTCTGCGATCCATTTGTTGTATTTCGTTGTTACTTATTTTTGCCCTTGCGGATCCTGATTTCGATTTACTGCAAAATTCAACTGATTCAAGTTTTTTTTTTATGTTGTAAAATCGGCGGACTATCAGAGATTCGTTGGGTCCTTCTTCTCTACGACCGATTTGTTGTGTTTTGATTTTACTCATTTTTACCCTTTCGGATCCTCTTTTCGATTTACTGTAATATAACGGAGGTTTTGTTCTGTTCTTCTGTGACATTGCTACGGACTTTCTTCCATTCTTTATCATCTCTCATTTCTGAAATTTCAGAGGGGTTTCCATTCTGAAGGAAGGTACGTTTATTGAAGCTTTATTTGTTGGGTTCTTCTTCTCTACGATCGATTTGTTGTGTTTCGTTGTTACTCTTACCCTCAAATCTTCTGTATATATCTCTCCTTCTCTCGCGACTCCCTAGACTCCTTCACCACCGACCCAATTTTCTCTTCTTTCCTCTCCCCAGATTTCAGTTTCTCTGTTTATTGTAGAAAAGAGGCGAAAGAAAATCCTCCGTAAATCTAATCAATGACTACAGCACCCTTCAGTTTCTCTGTCCATTTCCATTTCACCCTTCAGTCGCCTACAGTATTTCGATGGGAAAATCCACTAAGAAATCAGCTTCCAAAGTAGATTTTGTTAGCCTTTACATTTTTTTTTTGTCTAAATCTTGTTTTTAATTGTTTGATTTTTGCGAATTGTAGGTCGATTCAGTTCCTGTTGTTGCCGCACCCACTAAACCAATGAAAAAAGGTTAAATTTTGTTATTTCTGTTTGATTTTATAGTTGTGGCTTTTGTTGATGATTATTACTACTGTTTTTACGTTTTATGTGGTCGTGGTTTCTTTAATGGATTTTTTCAATTGTTAATTTATGGGTTTAAATTGTTGGGATGTGGGGTTTAATATTGGTGATGTAATGTTGTTTTGTCTTCTGTTAAATATTTCCAATGTACACTATGGGTTTAAAATTAGAAAGCTTTTTGAGTAAAAATAAGGGTTCTAAGTGTTAATCAGAAACTATCTTTGGCATTTCCATTGTGTTAATCACGAGTATGTGTTCAAATGCGTCTCATCTTTTCTTCTGTATTTTTTTTTTATTAGTACATCAAACGGCTTACCAAAGATCACGAGTATATGCTTGTGGGAAAAAAATCGTTCTGTGTAGTTTTCTGCTTTATTTTGTTGCTTGTGGGTACAATTTGTAACTTGTTACTGGAAACTTAAGCCGGGACAAGAACTAACTATGTCTATGTGTTACATTTCTTGCATTTAAAATGAACTCGTAGTTTGTATTTCATTTTCTGAAGGTTTACGGATTTATGTTCTTTAATTTGAAGTAGAGTAATCTTTTTACTGTATTTTATGCAACTAATTGTAAAGTTCCCTTCACCATATAACTGGGATTGGGTGATGTTACAAATTTCTTAATTTTTTCTATTTTAATTTATTGTTTTCTTTTTGTTATTTCTTTTCTTTTTGGAGCAATTTTGTCCCCGATAAAGTTGTTTATATTTCTGGTGAATAAATTATTGAACTATACAAGGTAAAGGAATGAAATGGGGCATTTAAGTAGCCCGCTTTCGTCAAGGGAAGCAACGTGCAGTTGGTGGTTGTCTTTTGTTTCTCCAGGTGAGTGTTAATGACATAAAATATCCCTATTTTTCCTCAATTTATTTGTGTTTAACTCTTATACTGTATAGCTCTTTTACTTCGAGAGTGTTGCAGTTGGAGAACCATCTGAACTAGCCCCTGCTGTTTTTCCATGCTTATCCTCTTGGGGCGAGGAAGAAATTAGTGAGAGAGAAAAGCAAGAGCGAGAGCTCTGTGGTTATGGCTCTGGAGAGGTACAATTCTGTCTTGATTTAAAACCTGGCCATGTTCACAGATTATGCCCCCGTTCCGCCCCCATTATTCCAAATTAAAATGAGAAGAATAGTAATTTTTTGGAGAATGTGTGGTTAGAAAAAAAGAAATATATTTAGATTTACGTGTAATAATATTTTATTGGAGAATGCATGGTTGATAAAAACAAAAAGAAAAATGAATTATAATTTAATGGGGAATAATGGGGGCCAAACGGGGGCTATTTAAGTTCAAGTGTTTCTGTGCAGGTGGTTTGCAAGGAGAGAGACATTGGAATGGGACCATTGGGTTATAGGACCCAAGCTGACAGCAACCCACTGATAATAAGGTTATTTGGGGATGAGTATTGCCCTCAACTGGGTCAAGATTTGCATCAGGTATTTATATTGAAACTTCTGTTCTTGTTTTGCACATATGTATTCAATTCTAATAAGTAGTTAGTTATTGAATTCACATTTTTTAGCGAAATTTTTTGAAGGTGAAGCAATTTTGTTTCACGTGACGTATTAGTTAACATCATTTGTTTTCATATTACAATTTAACAGTAAAACATCGTTCGACCATTAGCGTAATCATTTGAGACACGAATGATTATTATTAGTAATAAAATTACTTCAATGACCAATTTGAAATTTATACTGAACTTCTGTGTCGGTTGGTGAAATTATCCTATATGTCTGTCTCTTTCTCTCCCATCTTATTATCCTACTGCGGCACTGCCCACCTATCTTGCCAATTTTATCATTTTCTTTTACCAATTTCCTTCTTTATTAAAAATGTTGGTTACTGCGAATATTTACATAGCAGGATGGTGAAGATCATCCTTATGGGGGTATTATTACAGCAGAGGTAACAATTTACTTCATTATCATTTTTTAGATTCTATAAAATCATCTTCCATGATATCACTTAATACGGCATGTAAAAAGCAGAATATGCCAATGATATGGAACAGGTGATTGAGACAATTCTAATGGCTTGTAGAGGGATAGATACAATTCTCGCATCCCATTTCATTGCCACCCTACACTTCTTTTATATGCACAAGTGTAAATATTTTCTGCTATTTAAACTTTAACTCCAGTTAAAAAGAAAATTGTTGTTGTAGCTCATTTTAAATTTCTGCAAATAGCACAATGTAAAATATCGAGGAAGAGAAGCCTTACAATCATGATGGATAGTATATGAATTTTCATCAGGTGAGATTTAAATATATCAATAGAGACATTGCATAATGACTGCTATTTGTTCTCTTCATATCATTTCTAAAGTTTTTATTCTCTATAGTTTGATGTGAGTACTTGCAATAAATTAAAACATGACTTGTCAATCCTGTAGTTAAGCATCATTAAAAATATGAATACATTAGATATTCCAAAGTAGATATGCTCTTGTTTTTTCTGAAATGTCAACTTGAATTTGGCATGTGGACGTATGATTTCTCATGTATGTATCAACAAAATGCTTGCCTCTTTTAGATTTCACAATGTCTCTGTCATGCTATATATGGAGATGAGTCTTAAGTTTAGAAAGCATCTTCTATTGTAGTAAACAACAACTTTTTTTGGTCATTTTGCAATTCCATCTAGACATAGACTTGTGAGTATTTCTGATGTGGGTTTTCCTATTTTTATTTGTGATTTTATGTAGAACTAAATCAGGGACATTTAAGGAATGGAGAGGATAAATCCAAAAGGTATGTATTTCATCTCTTTTTTCCATCAATACATAGCGTTCAGATTCTTCATTTTTTTTAGATTTTTGGTTACTGTTGTTTTCTCCATTTCTTTGGCAAAAAAAAATAATCTGAAACTATGTTCTTGCCATGACCAACCATACAACATTTTTGGGTCATCAGCAATGTTGGCAATGTAACCTTCTTGCTGGTCAGGTAGAGTTTTAAATATGTTAATTGGTTTCTTGTCTGTCTTATTTGTATGTCTCAGTTTGAATGGGAAAAAAAGAGAAAAAATGGGGCTCAAACTTGGGCTTCATTTTCCTATTATCATTGATATAGAGCTCGAAAACTCTGGTAAATGAGTTATAAAGAGCTCTGGAAACTCTGGTAAAGGAGGGGCTCTAAAATAAGAAAAATGGAGCTCTAAATAGAGAGCTTGAGACTGGTAAAAGTCTGTAGAGAAATATGATATTATTTATCTGAAAAGTAGAATTCTGGAGTTGTAGAAATCAGGGCTCACCATTGGAGTACTAAATCTTGCTATAGTCTTACCTCAGGTAGTTTATTCTCTTTATTGTCGGTTGCCTGTTTTGCTTGATTATGAATGTTGAATAGGCTTTGGCCAACTAATGTAGATGATAACTGAAACAAAATATAGCCATTTTATTTGAGTTGTCATTGTTTGTGCTACA